TAGTTTTTCTCTGATGATCTGACTGCGCCGCGGCGCAGCATGGCTACTGCTGCTGCTGCTGCTACTACTACTACTACCACCACCACGACTACTACTACTACTACTACCACTACTACTACTACGACGACTACTACTACTACGACGACGACTACTACTACTACTACTACTACTGCTACTTCTACTACTACTACTACGACGACGACGACGACGACGACTACTACTACTACTACTACTTCTACTTCTACCTCTACTTCTACTTCTACTGGTGCTGCTGCTGCTGCTGCTGCTGCCACTGCTGCTACTAATAATAATCTTAGTACTAATAAGAAGGAATAAGAAGGATACTAACTCTGCTATTAAGGTCACCGACAACAATTACCACTTAGTAAACTACTACCATGATTGACATTAACAGTCGTTGCGGTAGTAATCCTATTGTAAGTCTGCGTGTAGCCATAGCGGTGCAAGCCAAGGAATATGCACGCAGCCAAGCTCTTCGAAATTGCTGCTAATGAGGCCCAACAGATGTTTGGCCATGGCAATATTGTTGTCCGCATGCTAACCTATGCTTGGACTCTGTTCCTCTGGAGGAAGGAGCCTTTTTCTGGAACTTTATAGTTATGGAAGGATCCCAGGCAGTGACCTGGCGTGGCTTGATAAGGAAAAAGGGAGTATAAACCCTAAACCGCGCGGTAATATGTCATGATTTTTGACAGTCTGGTCTCACTATGCCCTTAAACAAACCCTGTTTCTGCAAATAGGGTTTCTTTGGGAGGGTTGTCTAGCCGACTACGCTGCTCTTCAACCCTGAACCTGCAAATCATTAGAAAAAACACGACGCCACGAACCTGACACCCGAAACCCTTAATCACCAAGGGGCAGGGAATAGTGTGCTCCCAGTATATCACTCTCAAACTGAAGTGGTTGGATCCGTATACTTGGTCCCCCTCCCCACAAAAAAAAGGCACGCTCTTCATTCTCTTTCCTCACAACACATGGGGAGTGGCTTTCATATTTTTGTAGTTGCACCATTCCACAACTCCATATTTCCTTAATTTCACAATTTCATATTTGCAGCTTCTAACTTTCCAGAAGTCCAAAATTCGACAAAACATTTGTGTGTATATGTCTATATACGTATAAATGGGGGGTTTGAATAAGGCGTCCAATATGGACCACAATATGCTTTGATCAATAAGCCTTCCTCCAAGGATTCCTCAACAGCAGTCCCGTTTTTTCGGAAACCCCTTCGGAAGCCCAAATCCCACATAAACCGCTCAAGGTCGCTGAAATATTGGGGGTGGGCGGGCAAACATCACGCGTGTAGCCGCCGGTGCTGCGAGATGGTTGCTGTTGAGCGCTCAAGCGTAAGAGAGAACTATAGCGGCCTGCATAATCACCAATACAGTTGTCTCTTTACGGGGGTCTTAGGGAATTCATGGGGATTCAGGTGTTTAGGGAATAATTGCCCCTATCATGGCCCCGTATTCCTTGCACGAGTACATAGTGGTGTAAAGCATTTTACTAGACCTCTAAACTCTAAACCCTAAGCCGAAACCCTAAACCCTAAATCATTTGATGTAGGCTTCGACGTTACCTACCTAACCGAGCATGAAGCCCCTCAAGTGCCCCCTTCGAAACCACAACCTTTTGTGCAATATAGTATTTTAGCAATAGCAATAATAATAATCAGAATAGCAATGAACAATAATAGTAATAATCGCTTAAATGATATTATTAGGGCATTTAGTGGTGTTCCATGTCAGTTTTTCTAGGGACTTTAGGAGGGACCCCTAATAGGGACCCTTAATCCCATTACCATATATAACCCTTATATAGTCATTATACAACCCCTATATCCCTAGGTAGTCCCCATATTTACCTCCATAAGCTACAAGGGTCCCTATTAGGGGTCCCTACAAATGTCCTTTGATTAGAACACATTTGACTATAGTTAGGTTGGG